TGAAGCAGGGCAGAGTTTAGACATGTTAAGTTCTTGGATTATGTTCTTAGAATCCCTCAATCAATATGACCAGGGAACTCTAGACTCCTAAAAAGTAACTTTTCCAAGTTTTCCTGCCGGGAAACATATTGGGAAAAGTTAAATTCAGCAGGATCCATGAGAACAGTACGCATAGTTATTCGTTCGCTGAAAATATTAAATGAATTCCCCCCCCCCAAGAAATACACATTTCTAATGTGTATCACCAGAACTTGCTATTAGAGGGGACCAGAGTGCTATATAGAGAGTTTGCATATCCACGGTTTTTGGCATCCGTAGCGGGTGGGTGGATTTGGAACCAGGGCTGTATTGTACTTTTCACCCGAATTCTGCAGGATTGCACTGTTAAGCCGCAGTCGTATATGGACCCATTGGCAGAAGGCCCCACTAAACCCAGCAGAAAGTTATTTCTGAGCAGATATGCACAGGATTACAATTTTGGAAAGAAAGGAAAAACCAGAATACTTGGAGAGGTTTATACGCAACCTGGAAAGGAAATAAAACCACCTTCTCAACCTGGCTGATTGCATGAGAGAAGCGTGAAGCCAAGGAAGGAGGACAGATCAGAGTTTTATGGCTATCTGCTTTGCTCTGGCATAACCTTCAAGGTTCCAGGACAAGAAAAGCTTCTAGTGGTGTCATAAGGAGCAAAAGGCAATGAATCAAGAGTCTTCCAGCTCTCTCCTTAGAACAGGAATTACTAGCACAGTTTAGAATGCTACAGCCGGTTTTGCTACGATAGCTTCTATTCCTTCCTCTGTTATCCTGAACATATTCTGAGCATGGGACATCAAAAGGAGCTTTCACTTATCGGATGCCCTCCAGATGTTTTGGGCTTCAATCTCTTTGATCCCTCAACAGTCACCACGTAAAACATCAGGGGCCACCGGGACTGAGCAAGGATGTGTAACAATGGCACACCACATGCTTCTTAGCAAGCAAGTCCCCCCAGAACAGAGTAAGGCTGGCTTCTGAGTAAAGATCCATGGAATTGGGCTGTTTGGTTCAACGTTTATGGACCACTGAACGAGATGTTGGGTTCCTTGCACACAAAAGCAAACAAACAAAAAATAAAAATAAAAGCAACTGGGGAGGCCCTTTCAAGAACCAGAACAGAAGATGACCTTGGAATAGGTCCTCGGGTAAAACAGAAACATAACATTCTTCTCATCCCTCACTTGTTGCTCCCCAGGGGGGAAAAAGGGGGGGGAGGAAGCCCCTCTGCTCCTTTTGCTGAGAAGTCATCATAAAATTTGGTGCATGCTTACAAAACGGGGAAAGTGTGTCCATTCCCAAATGGTTATCAGGATCCGGAAAACATTTTTTTTTACTTAGAAATGAAGCCCTTTCCTGATACGGCCGAGGCCTCGGTGCAAGCCCCTGACTGGAAAGGGACTCGTGTGTCAAGCACGTGTTTCCCTGAGCAGCTGACACGGCCCTGATTCTGACAACAGTAATGTTTTGGGTGGAAAAAACAAAATCATATTTTCCAGAAAAAATTGCCATAGAAATGATGGCTACATTTTTCCACGGAAAATCTTCTATTTTTAGAAATGCCTTCTTTCATAAGATTAATTAGTAACACAATGAATGGACACAATGCATTGCCCAATTATGCAACTGGAATGGATACAATACCAGCCAAAATCTAAAATCTAAGTTGCCATTAGCTTTTTTTTCTTCCAGAGATTTGTCCTAAAGAACTGCACATATTTAAGTCTGCAGCTCTTCAGGCACACTAAAATTAATATGTTAACACTTTTCAGAGCCTTTAATTTGTTTTTCCACTCAAAATCAAAGGAACGTCAAGGAAGCATATCCTATTGAGCTGTCACATCTTAAAAATATTTGCAAGTTTTCCAATAAAAATAATTTCCAAGTAAAAGTTTGAATCTGTTTCCTTACACTATTTCAAAGCACATGCTGACTGCAGGACTAAACATATTTACTAAAGAGTAGGCCTTCCTGAGTCCAGTGAAACTTACTTTTGAGCAAAGATCCGTATGATTACATTATACAAACTGTACTGATCCCTTTTGTCCTATTCCCCCCTTTTTTGGTGTATTTATTTGATTCAAGAACCTTGATCACATTTCATTTAGAAATCACAAGGAGGTTTACATATTACAAATACAATAAATCTAGTAGCTAAAAAGGAGAAAATAATAAAAAAATGGAAACTGAAAAACAATTCATTAGAAACAATACGTTTTTTTTTAAAAAGGTGCTGCTTATATGTCATCCCATAGTGCTCAAAACACTCTCTGGGTGATTTACGATTTAATCTTTCAGGCTACACATTGCCCCCCCCCTCCAGCCCTAATTTGTTGGGTACTCAGTTATCCAGCTTTGAAAGAATGGAAGGCTAAGACAACCTTGAGCCTACCAAATCCATTGCAGGTTACCAGACATGATAGGGGTGTATCATCTCCAGGCTTCAAAGGAAGGTACCTCCAAATGCCAGATACAAGGGAGGGGGAAAAGGAGACAGGTCTCTCGTTGACTCGTGGGCTCCCCGAGGCATCTGGTGGGGCCCCTGGGAGATCCAGGAAACTGGACTAGATGAGCCCTCGGCCTGATCCAGCAGGGCTCTTCTTAGGTTCTTATGATCTTAAATCCTAATAGGCAATACAGTGGTGCCTCGCTAGACAGTTACCCCGCATGACAGTTTTTTCACTAGACATTGACTTTTTGCGATCGCTATAGCGATTAGCAAAACAGTGATTCCTATGGGGGAATTTCGCTGGACAATGATTGCCCCGCATTACAACGAAACTGCTTAACGACTATCTTTTTGCAATGGCAATTGCAATTGCAAAACGATGGTCTGAATGGGGGAATTTTGCTTTGCGATAATTGGTCCCTGCTTCGGGAACCGATTCTTCGCAAAACGATTATTTTTAAACAGCTGATCAGCGGCTTCAAAATGGCCGGCAGGTAACTAAAATGGCTCCCCGCTGTGTTTAGGGACAGATTCCTCGCTATACAGGCAGCGAAAATGGCCGCCGTACGGAGGATCTTCGCTGGACGGTGAGTTTTTACCCCACTGGAAGGCACTGAACGGGCTTCAATGCATTTCAATAGGGGATTTATATTTGTTTTACAATGTTTTCGCTTAACGACGATTTTCCTGGAACAGATTATCGTCATTAAGCAAGGCACCACTGTACTGTAGCGGTAAATTTGTTCAGCCAGGGCTCTTGGTAATTAGCACTTAAATTCTTGGGTTTGAAATCCTGTGTATTCAACCACACTCATGCTGAATTATGGTTACCATAATCTCGTTTGTGAATTGCTTCTCATCTTTAACACTACCATGTACTGTAGACAGGTACAATGTGGTCTTCTTTGGGCTAGAAGGAGCCATAGCTATTAGACCTGGCCACTGCAGAGGCAGCATAATTTAATGTTACTTTGAGTTTCCCAAAATCCATACCTTTCTTTATATTTGGGATGGAAAGAACTGGGGAACTGAAAAGTCAAACCTAAGGGAAAGTGAAACAGACAGATTTCCCCATCCCTAACTGAACTACAGTATTGGATCATCTGGGCATACTTTCAAGGAACTGTACAAGGCGTCTGTGAAGAAACAGTATTTTGAAACGGGAAGACTGGATGAAGAAAGAAACCACTGCACTGATTCAAATTTGGGAAGGCTTCCCTTTTTGGAATACAACCGCCAGACACAGCCATCATCAACATGGCCCCCATACTAGCTGTGGGAGTTTTTGAGAGCTCCGTGATATGCTAGCTCTGTATCTGAGGTACAAAAATCCAAAATTACACAGCAGTCAAACGTTGGCAACATCTACAAGGAGCTTTCTCTCTCTTTTTTTTAATCTCAGGCACTACATTCACATAAATATGGCAGGCACAAATTATTCAGTGCTGACAGAGCAATGGTGCCTTGACTGAGAGACCCACCAAACTAGAAAAGTTGCCTTCTCTGCCTTTGGTGATAAACTCCGTTTTGAGCGTAATTAACCTGGAAAATGCACATAAACACACATTTAACCCAAGCAATGCCTGCTTCTCTTCAGATGCTGGCTCCATTTACGGTGGTATCACCGTTCCACCCCTTAAAGTCATGATGGGAAAATCTGTCAGATGCTGGCTCCATTTACGGTGGTATCATCGTTCCACCCCTTAAAGTCATGATGGAAAAATCTGTACCCTCCAGATGTTGATGGACTACAACTCCCATGATTACACACAACTGGCTATGCTGCTTAGAGCAATGATACCCAGCCTTGGGCCTCCAGATGTTCTTGGACTTCAACTCCCAGAAATCCTGGCCAGCAGAGGTGGTGGTGAAGGCTTCTGGGAGTTGTAGTTCAAGAACATCTGGAGGCCCAAGGTTGGGGACCACTGGCTTAGAGATCAGAGGCACACTTGTGCAGGGGTGGGAATTTCCAGGTGGTGTGAACAAACAGAGCCCTCCTGATACCCAGTTTCTAAACCTGAAGTTTCCCCCAAATGGTCACTGTCCCTTCCTTATGATTCCCCCTCGGCAATTTGATCGCTTCCGCATGTTTTGAACCCATTCTGATTGGCTGAAGTGCCTCTCCTAAGAGTTCTTAGCACTTACTAAAGAACTTTTAAGTTGAAATACCTATGCATTACCACTGCAGTGCCAGCACCACGCTAACCACTTACCTGACACTGAATTTGGCTGTTGGGCTAATAGGGTTTTCCCCCATTCTGGGAACAGCAGATATAGGAAGCATTGCTTTTGGAGGGAGGAATCACAAGTCCCAAAATACCTACCGGCTATACTAGCAGAAATATTCCACTGGTGTAGCCAAAAAAGGGGGGGTTTCCCCTCCCCTTATCTTTGAGAGCTCATGCCTTCAGATCACCCACACACACACATGGGATGCAGGAAGGCTCAAGGCAGGAAGACCCCGGCTGCCCAAAGAGGCCAGCCGTCCAGCGAAGGAGGAAGGGCGAGTCAGCCCTACCTTTGCAAGCCTTGCGGTCCGTGATGGATTTGCTCATGTCCCGGTAGAAGCCCTCTTTGCAGTAATGGCAATGCCGCCCGGCCGTGTTGTGTCGGCAGTTGAGGCAGACGCCGCCGCTCTTCCGCCCGGAGAGTTTGTAGAGCTCCATGTTGAAACGGCAGCGCCGGGCGTGGAGGTTGCAGTTGCAGGCTGCAAGGAAGAGACAGAGAGCAGGTGAAAAGGAGGAGGAGGAGGAGGAGGAGGAGGAGGAATCCATTGGCGGGAGAGCTCAGGGGTTGAGGTCTCTGGCTGAGGAGCCAGAGGTTGGGAGTTCGATTCCCCACTAGGCCTCCTTGACAGGGGCTGGATGGATGATCCATAGGGTCCCTTCCAGCTCTGGAGTGCTAAGGTGGTTGATGATGACAATGATTACAGTAGTACCTCAGTTTGCAAAACGGATCCGTTCTATGCAACGTTGCATAGGACGGAAATTTCACAAATTGAAACGCCAACTGCACCACAAAAGAGGCGGCAGCGTTATAGGTGCAATGCGCCCTGGGAAAACCCTTCATTCCTAAGCCAAATCCCTCACTTGTTTCTAGGAGTATTCTGGAAGCTGCAGTCCAGCTTCTAATTCAGACTCGAAATCTGCAGAATATGCTTTTGGACTATAACTCCCAGAATTCTTTACCAGAAAATCACAAGAACTTTTTTTTTAATTGAATTACTTTTTCGTTCCTTGCCCATTTCCCATGGCTAGGACATGTAATGATGGCTCCAATGCTTCGGGACCATCATAGCTGAGTCCTGCAAATGATAATCTGCCTCCAAACTAGAACTGGAAGTCCAATTCATACGGTGGCTCCTAATTTTGGCTTGACAATGAGCAGCTAATCTGCAATAACCACCATTAGCTCAATTTGAACATCTCAGCAAACTATAGCCAAGTCAGGAAGGCTAGAAAAGGATGGTCTAAGCAAGAAAAGAGCAGGTGCAGTAATAGTCCCTCGTTCCTGGCCACCAAGAGAAGCAAAACATTTCATACAGGTGACAGTTAAGTGGTGTCCGTAAATATAATTTGAACATCTCAGCAAACTATAGCCAAGACAGGAAGGCTGGAAAAGGATCGTCTAAGAGCAAGAAAAGAGCAGGTGAAATAATAGTTCCTCATTCCTGGCCACCAAGTAGTACATACAGGTGACAGTTGTGTCCGTAAATATGGCAGGGAACATTTCTGACTCCTTGGCTTGGTGTGGGTACATTGGGTGGTGGAACATCTTTCTTAAGCCACCGTATGGGTAACGATGAGCACAGGGTCCCCGCGGGCGGCAGCAGAAGCAGGGTCTCCAAAAGGAAAACAAGGGGAGGACTGTGGCCTGTTCCGATCACTCTGTGCAGCCGGTTCGTCCCCAAAGCCCTCCCGTCCAGTGCTCAGGCAAGGAGACCACCTTCCTCGAACTGGCCGGAGGCTGGAAGCACGGAGCCCTTTGCTATCATCCACTCCAGAGCTACTAAAGATCACCAACAGTCCCAGCTGTGGCCACGTTATGAAGCCGACCGGTGTGGGGAAGCAGAGGCCTTAGGAGCTGCTAAAGTCATTGGGTTCCCTTCCTCCCATGTGGAAAGGACTTCTTTTTTGTTTTCGTTTTTGTTTAAGTAGCGGGAGGTGGAGCTGCTAAAGTCATTGGGTTCCCTTCCTACTGCACCCCTGGTTGGTCTCTCTCTTTCTCTCTCTCCTGTTTAGCCACAGAAGCCAAACTATGGTGGGGGAACTAGGTGTAGAAAGGGCTTCTTTTTTTTTAAGTAGCGGGAGGTGGGAGAATGAGCAGTTCCTGGTTAGCACACTCACAAAAAGATAATGGGAACAAGGTTCCCCTCCGGCTTTCACCTGGCGTAGCTCTTTGGCCCTCGCGCCACCCGTTGCCCCCCCTCCTGCCCGCCCACCCCCTCTCCATGGCCAAACCCAGGCTGGGGTGAGAGTTTTTCCAGGCGTGCTGTGAAATTCATTAATGTGTCAGCCCACGATTTAACTGCTGGGCCTGCTTATCATTGCCATGAAAGTCCCTCTCCACCGGCTCCTTCTCTCCCTCCTGCTCGCCCTCCTCCCCCGGCCCCCAGTCCTGGTATGGGCTGCAGCTTTCGCTCTGGCAGAGGCTTGACTTCTCCTCCTTCTAGCAGAAGAAAACCGGCGAGGCAGGCAGAGAGGGGTGGGGTGGGAGCAGGGGAGCAAACCCCTCGAAGATCAAACGGCTGTGAAGCACATGGGCCGGCCGGGACTCCAGACGCTAAGCCAGCTTTATGCTGCCAACGGTGTGATGCTCCCCCATCACCCTTTTCCCAGAAGCCCCCCCGGTCCATCCAGACCCCGGAGCAAGATATTCTTGGACAACAAAGACAACAATATTGACCTTTCTATGCGGTGGTCATGTGCACAACAAACGGGCCATAAAAGAGCATAAACCATCATTGCAAAAACGTTTTGAACACCGAGGGGACGGACCGAGGGCTAAATCCAAGGCTTTCGTTCCCAACTGGCGGGAGACGGACTGAAACAAATAGAACATGTTAATCGCACATAACTGGGCCCTTTGCTTTCAACTGGCCAAGACTCAATGGGACTAAGCATGGATTTAGCCCCAGAAGCAGGTGGCCGTGGGACTTTACAAAGGCCAGTCCTTCTGTTTGAAGGCTCCCCCTCTGTTTGAAGAGCTGCCCAGGCCATGTCCAGTTAAAGATAACAAAATTTACAAATAGGAAGAATTCGGGGGAGGGGGGGTAAATTTGTCCATTAACAGGAAGCACAACTGGACACAGGCCAAATGATACATTTCAGAATTTCAGAGAGAAGAGGAGATTTCTAAATCACTCATAGTATCCCATTACCGCAGCTCCTTCTGTGAATTAGCCTGCTTTCTTTTGGAATTGGCCACCGCAGCTAAGCGCTGGCTTCATTCACGAGTCCGATTTCTAAGATGCAGAAGTCAGCTGACACCATCTCTCTGGAATGCCGACATGATTTCAGCTTGCCATGAGAAGACACCGGTGGAATGACCAAGGTCTTCCTCACTGGAGTGGCATTTCCATTTTATATTTTAGTAATTCTACTGTTGCACCAGTATGTATAAATTAACATACGTGAATCTCTATTCTTGTTTCATCCTTGTCCTTGGCAATGCATCAGTGATCATCCTATTTCGATTCTAAAAATGGAGACAGGGATGGGAATGGGCCCCCCCTCTGATACATCCGATATGTCTCATTACAAGAGAACAAGGGGATTGCTGTGATCAGATATCCCGGGTAGCCATGTGTCCTATTTCGAAGGTAGACATCTACTTGAAAGGTTCGCAGAAGATAATCCTCTCTTTGATGTTGTTCTCTTTTTGAAGAGCTCTTCGGATGGAACCTGGTTCAAATCTCGAGAAGAATCTTAAGGAAAAAGAGCCCGGGGCCTCAAAGTTGTCTCGAGAGCTTGAGTAGCAGGCTAAGGAAGGAAGAGCATCTGGACACAGCCTCCCTCCCCTTGCTCCTTAGGGTGAGATGTACTGCGCTTTAAGCTATTGAGTTTTGTGGGTCTGTTCTCCCTACAGTCATCTCAATACAATGCACTGTAATATTTTCAAGTCATCTTTGGTCCCATGCAGCTCAAATAGTCACGGCTAAGCCCAGAATCAGGAGATCCTCCAGCATCAGTGTAGAAGGAAATTTCGAAGTGCAAGTGCTAATCGCGTCAAGCCCCTCGAAAGAGCCCAAAAATTACAGGACCCGTGTCATTCCGTATCAACAAACCAGCTTAGCAGTTCATCTCCATGAGCAGTTGATCTTTTATAAAGCCGCTGAGTCTTGAGACCCCCAAACCACTGTGAAATACTTTCGGTGGTAACAGCGAGAGCAACATATGTTTCTGGGGAAACTCATTTAAACTCATTTAAACTCCAGCTACTAGGAGGATGAATGTTGCATTGGAGGCATGAAACAGTGATAGATGACGTTATCAACTCTGCTCAGCAAAACAGTCCTGTGCTTTGACTGTCTGAGCCCTCTCTCCATTATAACGGGGTATCAGTGTTATACTGCAGCATGGCTGTTCTCTAAAGCTATTTACAGAACATATTCCATATAGACCATGAATGTAACTCCCTACCCTACTGAAAACAACAGGCAGTTAAAAAGCCAGCAAGCAATAGTATTTTGCTTCAATCAGTGCTTGAAAAAGTTGCTTTTTTAGACTGCTGTTGCCAAGATTCTCAAGTTACCAGGGCCAATGGCCAGATGCACTGGGGATACCGGGTGCTGAAGTCCAAAAAAGTAACTTTTCCAAGCTTTAAGCCCATAAGGAACTATTTGACATATTTCAGTGTCTGACTAAGACCTTTATATCTATAACAAATATTCTGGGAACTCCTGGGCAAAACTTTAGACCAGGGCAATTAAAAAAACCCCACAAACATCCTAGCAGATTCTCTAGACTGAACTCATTCTTCACTAAACGACAAGAAAACAAACAGTCACCCCTTGGATCAGAGCGTTGCAAACGGTGCAGCAAAACCAACTGTACTGGGTAATGTTGATATCCAGCTTTGTAGAAATTGGTACTAATATTGCAATATGCACCTAAGACATAAGGAATAAAACCACAGGCTCAAAATCAATAACAAAATCTAATCCATCAACAAACACCACTAATCTAGATTTTTCAAAGGCCTATTCAAATAAATAAACCTTCTCTGAAAACTTGGCAGGAACTGGCACAATTCGGTTTCTTCTTAAAAGCCATTCCAAAGCTTTGGGGCCGCAACAGGCAAGACCGTGTTCCTCTTAATCCTACTATCTGCTCAAAAAACAGACAACAGAACTATATAAGCTATCCAGAATCTGGAGGCAAACAGAGGGTTCTGGGACTCATTCATTCCTATTTTCTAGCTGTCTACACTTGCACTGATGTTAAGAAAGTGTGAAGTCAAGAGGAGAAGGGGATGACAGAGGACGAGATGGGTGGACAGTGTCATCGAAGCGACCAACATGACTTTGACCCAACTCCGGGAGGCAGTGGAAGATAGGAGGGCCTGGTGTGCTCTGGTCCATGGGGTCACAAAGAGTCGGACACGACTAAACGACTAAACAGCAACAATACTTGCACTACTACCCAATATTCACACATTTCCTAGTTTCTTGGCTTTGCACTGCAGGTGTCACACACATAGCCTGCT